AGGGGAGGTAGCCTGGAGAAGAGCAATCCTGGGACGAGGACTTAAGAGGTCCTGAACCAGGAAAGGTTCCTAAGGAGAAGGCACAGGTCCAGGAGAGGGCTGGTGCAGAGTGACAGGTGGGTGCTGAGGAGAAACCACTGGGGCAGGAGGAGAGGTGTGGAGAGCAGAAACGGGGCCAGGTTGCCCAAGACCCGGATATCAACAGTCAGTACGGCTGGAGCAGACAGAATGAGGCAGAGAAATGGACCAGATGAAAGAAAGCTGTAATGGCGGCGTGAGAGCAGATACACATCCAAACAGTGCCATGGGACTTAAAGGGAACTTCTGGTTGTTATGGGGGGAGGGTTACATTTAACTGAGCAAATGGTCATTCTGGCCCGTGTTGAGATACAGGGTAAGAAATATGACTATAAACTAGGCATTGGGGCATACTCTCATGATCCCAGTATGTGGGAAGCTGAGGCTGGAAGATGTTGAGTTTGGGAACATAGTGGGACCTTGTCTGAAGGGGGCAGGGGCACAGAACAGAGGATATAGTAGGTGGTAAAGGGAGGGCTTGCATACCACACAAGAGGCTTAGACACAGTGAGGCCCTATGTTCAGCCAAGGACAAACTGATTGGATGGAAGAAGGAGGAACAGAGCAAAGGATTCTGACTGTATCTGAAAGCTGAGCAGAGAATGTGCTGACTGGGTGAATGCCAATACAGTTGCCCAGGATCCAGGCAGCATGCAGTGCTCCACCACGCTGGCCTCAAAACCAGGGATGACTCAGCCAAAAGATTTCTGGTATGTCCTCAACTCCATTTCTCCTGATCATGTCCTTTAATTATAGTGACATTTAAATGTAACACAGTGGAAAGGGCAAAGATATTAATAGTCTTAAATTGGTGTTGTCTCTCTAATGTGTAGGAAGAAACCTTTTTTCCTAAGGGCTCACTAGGATGTGTTTACACACACACATATTCTATCATACATCTCCACACGCATACAAAGTAGAAAAGATTAAAAAGGCTGGGAGAGTTGCTTAGTGGCATGTTGGAGGCCCTAGATTCCATTCCTAGGGCTGAGGATGAGGAGGCAGTGGATGTTTTTCAATGTTTTTGTTTTTCAAGACAGGGTTTCCTCTGTGAAACAGCCCTGGCTGTCCTGGAACTAACTCTGTAGACCAGGCTGGCCTTGAATTTACAGAGATCCTCCTGCCTCTGCCTCCTGACTGGGACTAAAGGCATGCACGCCACCTGCCACCAACCAGCTAAATATTTTTTTAAAATTAAAAAAAGGAAACAACCACTATCTGCTGTACCAAGACCTAGGTGATGAGGCCAACCCTGCACACCTGTGGTAGTGAGAATAGAGGAGACGCACCCACTCTAAATAGAGGCCGAACTGTATGCTACCCTCATCCTCCAAAATAACAGTTTTATTCAAGGACCAAGAGGCGAGAAGCAGGTTTTCCAAAGCACTGGCCAGTAGAAATGCCCTGTGTGCCTCTCTTATACTCTAGAAGAAGCAGGTTTTTGTATCCTATTTTTAAAAAAAGATGCTGTGTCTTCTCTGGTATTTGAAGTGGTTTATAAGACTATAGTAGGAAAAAAAAATATATCCAACACTCGCAGCCTAGCAACCAATCCAGGCAGCAAACACCAGCTAAGTAGCCAGGTGGTAGTAACGCTCACTTTTAATCCTGGCACTCAGGATGCAGAGGCAAGTGGATCTCTGTAAGTTCAAGGCCAGCCTGGTCTACAGGCAGAGTTCCAGAACATATTTCAAAGCAACAAAGAAAACCTGTCTCGGGAAAAAACAAAACAAAACAAAAACAAAAACAAAAAAAACAGCTAAGTGTCCTCTGACTCAATTCATTTTGATGACCCCATTACCCACAGATGATGTCAGATCCCACAGGTTGAATCGGTCCCTGGGAATACTATCCCTTTAGATGGCAATCCCCAGCCCCAGGGTTGTTTTACCTGTGCTATGTTTGTAAGTCCACAAACCAGTTATTTGCTCCTCCAGGCTCACAGAGCCCAGAGAAACACTAGCATCTATTGTTTTCTTTCAATATTACAAAGAGCCCAGTGTGATAACATACACTGTCATCTCAGCAGGAGGGAGGGAGGCAGGAGGATCAAGGAAAGTTCAAATCCAGCCTGGTCTACATAGTGAGCTCCAAAGAAGGAAAACCAACAAACAAAAATAGTAATAATAACACAGGATACCAAAGAACAGATACACATGGTGAGGTGAGGGAGGATGTATAACATTCATCACAGAAATGGCTTTTGGGTTTTGTGCTTGTTATGTTTCCCAAGACAGTCTCACTGTATGGTTCAAGCTGACCTGGAACTCGTCCATAGCAAGATGGCCTCAAACATTCAATCAATCCTCTTGCCTCCAGTTTCTAAGTCACATGCCATCAAGCCCAGCTTAGAAGCTGTTTTAAATAAGATGGGGGACTGGAGAGATAGTTCGCCAGTTAAGAGCACTGACTGCTCTTCAAGGTCCCAGGTTCAATTCTTAGCATGCACAAGGTGGCTCACAACTGTCTGTAACTTCAGTTCCAGGGAATCTGACACCTTCACACCCAATGCACATAAAATAAATTCAAATTAAATTATTTAAAAAAATGGAAGACAACTTTTCATCAATTAGGGACTACCGAAAAGATACAGACAGACACACAAAACACACACACACACACACACTCGCTCGCACTGCTATGGACACTGGTCACGTGGAGTTCCTATAGTGAAACGTTAACTCCTACTGAGATGGTACTTGAAGATGGAGGTAATTAGTATTGATGAGGTTGAGTGGGCCTCTGATGACACTTAGAAAGCCTGCTGTTTCTTCATCCATATGCCTGCACAGGCATACATCACAGTTATCACCTAAGCACACTGTTTGCAAGAATCCTTACCAGATACAACGACAATGTCACCCTGATCTCAAGACTTACAGTCTTGAGAATTGAGAAAACCAATTCTGTTCTTTAAACCATCTAGTCTATGGTATTTTGTTATGGCCCTGCATGGACCCCCGAGGCACTTTGAGCAAGCCTGACGCTGTGGCTGGAACTCCTTGCTCCAGAGCTATTATTGGTACTCTTCCTATTTTGATAACACACACCTCGTGGGGTTATCAGCCTAAAAATCCTGTTATTTTTCACTGTGCTGTAAGTCAGTATTTAAACCCGCTCCATCCCCTCACTAAACAGCATTCCGGCATTGTCATTGAACAAATGACCCACTGTCTTGTCTCTTTATTTCAATCTCTAGGCCTTCGCCCAATTCGTGGAACAGATCGTAGTGTGGGTACTACACCCTGGGTTGACAAAAGCAATATTACTGCATACAATGAATGACATTCTATACGTGTAACATTACAAAGGCATGAGGCAGCTCTATGAAAACATGATTCTTGAGGCAAGAAGTAAAAACACAAGTTGCAGGCTGGAGACATGGCTCAGTGGTTAAGACAGCTTGCTGTTCTTCCAAAGGACACAAGTTCAGTTCCTAGCACCCACATCAGGCAGTTCACAACTGCCTGTAACTCCAAGGTCATCCATACAGGCATGTATGTACAAATAAAAAAAATGCTTAAAAATAAATCTTAAACACACACAGGCTGGAGAGATGGCTCAGTGGTTAAGAGCACATACTGTTCTTAAGGACCTGAGTTTGATGCCTAGCATCCATAAGGTGGCCTTACAACTGCCTATAACCCCAGCTTCAGGGAAAATCTCACACCTCTGACCTCTATCGGCATTTGTTTTCATGTGCACATACCTCACACACTAATACATAATGAAAATAAAACATCTAAACACACACATACAAATTGCTAAACAATGTATAGCACACTACTATTTGTAAAAAGCGGGGGAAAAGATGCATTTGCTTGCTGCATACATAGAATATCCCTGGAAAAATATAGTAATTCCAGGCAAAAGCTCATTGTATGCACTATAAATAGCAGAGCACATCAATATATTATCTATTCCAAAAGTGTTCTTAAGAGGGAAAAAATACCCCTCAAAAAAATGACTTCATCCAGGCAGCAGTGGCCTTTAATCCCAGCACTCAGGCAAACGCAGATACATGCTCTGGTTTACAGAGCAAGGTCCAGGACAGATAGGGCTGTACGGAGAAACCCTGGAGTGGGGGAATGTCTTCAGTTCCAAGACGGTTTTAAGAACCCTCCATTTTTTTCGCTGAGCATGGTGCCACACACTAACCCCAGCAATCAGGCAGACAGGTGGCTTTCTTTAAGTTCAAGGCCAGCCTGTTCTACAAAATGAGGTCTAGAATAGCCAGAGCTACAAAATAGACTCTGGCTCAAAAAAAAAAAAAAAAATCTTCCATTTTCATCAGTAAAAATGGCTAAGAGCTGGTCTTTAGCCTGCTAATGAACCATTCAACTATTCAAATCTCCACCCGTTCAGTTCAATCTGCCTTAATAGTCCCAAATCAATAGTGATCTTTCTGAACACCAAAAATCGCATCTTTCTTGAAACTTAGGAGACATACATGTTCTGCCTAATTAAACAGACTGGTACTACTATATAGCTGTACCAAAAAAAGATAACATTCATTACCTGAAACCCTAAGCACAATGGCCAGCATAAAATGCTAAACAACAATTATCTCACATTTGCTGGTAATGACCTAATTGGGTGAACCTGGCATACTCAACCCTCCTTCGCTGGTAAAAGGATCAATGACACCGCCAACGCATATTAAATGCCTATTGTAGTCTCCAGCACCCCAGAGATGCCCATTAAATGGGCATTTCGATGCCCCCACCCTCACCCCGCAAAGTTGCTGGTTCTAGCAAGCTGGGGAGAACACATCCTGTGGGTGACCTAGCTAAGCCCCTCCCAGGATGCCATAGGTCGGCTCCAGCTTAGGCAGTGCGCAGCCCATCGCCCCGAAGCTGTCCTCTCTCCATCCCGGCCCCCTCCTCTCAGGCGTCCACAACGCCTCAACGATGGCGTCCCACCTGCACCTTCCGCCTCTTCAGCGCCGCCGCGTCCAGCCACACACCACAAGCCTCTTCCTCTGGCCTTTTGCGTCTCATGGCGGACTCCGCAACCGCCCTTTGCGCCATCGCGCGTTTGGATCTCGCGCCGCTGCGGGAGGAGGGGCCTCGCCGTGGCCGTCAAGACGCAGGCCCCGCCTCTGACCACGCCCAGTGTGCAGGAGAGACTGGGACGTTTTCCCGGGCGCTGGTCTCTTCCCGCCTTCCCAACCATTCCTCTGTGAACTCTACAGAAAGCCCTTTGCGTGCGTGGGTCGCCGCCACGTTTAGCTTGGAAGAACTGCACATTTTTCATATATATAATTTTATTATTGTATATATGTGTGTATTATATGAATATATAATAAAAGTAAATAAGATTAATGTTTATACATGTGAAATGTATATATAATTGTTTTAAATTATATAGGTATGTGTCTACTTGTGGGTTAGTGCAGGTATACGCGGAGGACAGAAATTAGATCCCCTGGATGAAGCTAGAATTAATAGGTTCTTTGAGTTGCCATGTGAGTCTTTTGCAAGAGCAGCCAGTACTCTTAACCACTGAGCCATCCTCCAGTCCCAGACTGCACTTTTGACTACCCGGAGCCTCCCTCCCATAAAGGAAGCTGTGGATCCAGGCTCTGCAATCCACTTCAACCCCCCTTGCCCCATTGCTGACCTAATGGTCACCCCTCACTCGAGGTTGTCACTAATTGGCATGGAAAAGTAACCAAACTACTACATGGAAGATTTCTGAAAACATGAAATAAAAGTTGGAATCAAGGGTTGAGGATATAGCTCATTTGAGATAGTGCTTGTCTAGCATGATGGGTTAATACTAAAACTTGAGAGACAGGCAGATTTCTGTGAGCAAAACTAAAAGTAAATTTATTATGTATAATTATGTCTATGGGGGGTGTACATGTGATGGTTCCTTCAGTGGCATCGTACCCCCGGAGCTGGAGTTATGGGAGACTGAGCTACCCAACATGTGTGCTGGAAATCAAACACAGATCTTCTGAAAGGGTTGCACACACGCTTAACCACTGAGCAATCTCTCCAGCCCCAGGTGCATATTTTTATAAGTTTTCATGTGTCGTTTTACATTAATATTCATATGTATAAATTTCATGCCTTCTATGAAGACTCCCAGAATGTTATCAATGGAGGGATATATCCTATTCACTTCATTTTGCAGTACTTGGGATTGAATGGAGGGCCTCATGCAAAGCTACAATGAGTTATATTACCAGTGTGTCTGTTTCTCTGGCTGACACTCTACCACTGAACTTTGTCCTCGACCCTTAGATTTGAAACACTATTTTAACTACTTCTAAAAGAAGTCGATTTTAAAACTGCTCTTTAATCCCTCAAAATGCCAAATATGTATATATTTGCGCACACACACACACAGACACACATGCACACACACACTCAAGAATCTTCACACACAGACATACGTGCATGCACACAGACACACATGCGTGTGCGTGCATTCCCAACAGCAATTCTTCCCTCAGGTCAAAGTAAAACAAGAGCCCCCCTGCTCCACAGCATCTGCTCAGCACCCTGCAGTTTCCTTCAGAAAAACCTCCTTGCGAATGGGGACACCCCTTACACACACACACACACACACACACACACACACACACACACACACACACACACCCTGAGCAGGATAAAAAAAAAACCGAGGAAGCTGTTGCCATAGTCACTTTATTACATCTAGGACCTATCAGGGACCAGACACCAGCCTTACCTCCAGCCCCACTCAGCTCCCTGCTTTGCACCTCTGAGTCTGGGCACAGGTGTCCCCTTTTGTCTAATGCCCTAAACTCAGTCAGCAAACTCCTACTCACTCTCCCCAGCCTGAGGTTCTGAATAAGCCAGGCAGTGCTCATTAGCCTGGCCTCTGAACTTCCTTTGACAGTTCCTTAAGGTGCCAAAGCCTGGAGTCCTGGGAAACAGCTAAGGAGACAGAACTCAGAATCACTCGTGAGAGTATGGGAGAGAAGCTTGAAGGAGTATGCAGGCCAGATGTGAGGCTTAAGGCTGGGGCTGTCATGAAGGGTTATGGGCAGTAGACTCTGGAACCCAGTGATTAAAATGTTACCCACCCTTCTGGCCTGTTTATTTCCCCTCCACCAGTGAAATGTGGCAGACTCCCTCTCAGCTCAAATCTGACCCTGACCAGTCTCAACCCCCACCTAACAACCTGGAAACCCCAAACCAGGGTGCTGACCAAAGCTGAACCCTAACCTTTATCCCTGATAGGAGGCAAGGGCGGGAAGTCAGGAAAACCCACTCCCTCATCTCTTCTCTTCCCAGGGCAGGGAACTGGCTAGGGATTGTGCAGCTCCCAGCCAATCCCCAGGTCCAAGGATCGGCTAGCACCACCTTGGCCATTGAGCTTGTAGGCAGGGAGTCATGGCCCGCCAGATACAAACAACTTTACCAGGCCTTGTTCCCATCTGGAGCCAAGTCCAGGCCTTTGTCCCTAGCGCCTTCTCTCACCCTGCCGGCTCCGCCCACCCTGCTTTCACTTAGTCTTCTGACGGAGTTTGCGCCTCACTAGCTGGCTGAGGAGCAAGGCAGTGAGGATGCTGCTGCCCACGGTGAGCAGAAAGAGGCCGGAGAAGTTGTGGGGCCAACGGGCATGCAGAGGCTCATAGATGGGCCTCCGGGCCTGATAGTCCAATGTCACTGCCTCTAGCTGGGCCAACGTGCACAGCACCAAAAAGACATGGAAAACTTGGTGTCCCTGCCCAAAGATGTGGCAGCTGCCGGGGAACCAACTCTCCGGCATGACGGTGGAGAAAAACGCAGCAGCCAGAAGAAAGAAAACCACCTGGCACTTGTGATAAAGAAGAGCGGGGTCATCCTCGGCGGGGAGAGGGGACACTATGATGCGGTGCACCACGGGACTGATGTCCAGCGCATAGGCCAGCGCCGAGGGCACCTCCTGGCAAGTGCGGCCCAGCAGGCCCGGCTTCTGGCTGTACTTGTTGTAGCAGGACCCAGCACAGGAAAGCCAGGCCAAGAAGGCAGCGGTGGGCAGGAAGATGGCCTGCACCTGGGCATGCCAGGTAGGCTCGATGGCATAGTAGAAGTGTGCCAGGGCACTGCCAAACTGGTACACGGCTACGCCCACGTAGTCCAGGAAGAAGAAGCTGTAGTGCCAAAACTCTGACTTGGCCTGCAGGAGGTGCGCCAGGGCACTGAAGGAGAGGTAAGTGAAGGAGGCCAGGACGATGATGAAGAGGGGCAGGGCGTGCGGGTCTTCCCAGAAGTCCACGCTCCCCACCAAGATGACCAGGCGCAGCAGCAGTGCCAAGGCCGCCAGCAGGTGAGTCCACACGTTCACAGCCTCGTTGTGCTGCTGGAACAGTGTGCGGAAGTAGAAATACCAGGTCTGATGCAGCGGCCGGTAGCCAGCATAGATATAGGGCTTCCAGAAGAGAGGTGGCACCTCAGCCCGGTCCACTGTGAACACGGGCTCAGGCTGCAGAGGCTTCTGGCCCACGTGCCACAGGCTGGACAGCAGGTGGCTGAACTTCTGCGCTACTGCCATCGCCATGTCTGGGTCCCGGGCAGGAAACTAGAGGAAAGGTCAGGGCACAGTCAAGAGTCCTTCTCTACCTGGGACTTGGATGCCCCCAGACTTCCTCCCTTCTCCCATACCCTGTCCTTAGGCTGAGTTTGAGAACCAAAGAGCGATGCTTATAAAAAGGCAAGTTCTCTTCCCTGGCTTTCAGAAGGGGGCCTGACATAGTATGTGCTCATTGTAGGAATCTAGCAGAGCCACTGTGTCTAGGCTAAATCACGAGAGTGAACAGCCATTTGCTAGAAGTACTTCAACCTTGAAGAATCATTGTGGGAAAATGGTGATTGTTTTCCATAATTGGTAGGATGGTTTTCTGAAGGGGTCGTGACAGCCTTTGCATGACTTGGATCACAAGACACTTCTGGCACCCCTAAAGCTCTTGGGTTATTGTGTACTGCAATTAGTACACAATAAGGACTTAAGTAGCAGGGTCTGTGATGCTTTCCTTTACAGAGGCATATGAATTAGACTAGGGACCTTGGTATGCAGAAATACTTTACCCGAGAAACAACATTGTGTTACAATCAATAAATATTCAGGGTTCAGCCCATCAGAGGCTTGACCTTCCTGCTGACCTCTCTCACCCACCAACTCATGCAATGCAGGACACCCGACACACAGTGCATGTGGAAGGACCTCATCCATTCATAACTTCCTTTCCAGGCCAGTTGCCACACAGCAACCCCAGGAGATGGGACAGGCTCGTTCAGCATGTGATGTTGTGCCACCATGACCTTATTAACAGACCCGACAGCTTCCACCCACGACCCATCCAGAGCAGCCTGGGACTCCCCTGACCACACCCACCCCACACACCGCATGATCTGCTCCTACTTCCTTCTCCAGCCTAGCCACAGTGTACCACATTCCTTATCACAGCCACGCCAGACTTGTGCAGCCACTGCCTCATGTCACACTTTGCACAAGCTGTTCTCTCTACTGACTGAGACTCCTCCCCATCTTGCCAACTAGGCAAACTCCTATTCACGCCTCAAAACCTATTTCTTCTTTGTTCCCCTGACCTCTCTGCTTGACTGCCTACCATCAAACTCAAACATCTCAAGGGTGTTAATTGTATGGCTGTGAGCTCAGAGGCCGGGCAGTCTGTCTCCATACTTCATGGACTTCCAGTGTGCCTCGAGCGGCTCGCACTATTTTCTAAATGAAAGAACAGCATGATACATTCTGGTAGCACTTCAAGAGCCACTTTTCCTGAGAGAAGTCTCAGGAGTCAGTCCTATAGAATTGTCCCTTGCTGGGCAGTGGTGGCACATGCTTTTAATCCCAGTATTCAGCAGGCAGAGGCAGGTGGATCTCTGTGAGTTCGAGGCCAGCCTGGGCTTACAGTGAGTTCCAGGACAGTCTCCAAAGCTACACAGAGAAACCCTATCTCAAAAAACAAACAACAAAAGACTATAGAATCGCCTCTTTACCTCAGCCCAGCCAGTCTCCTCTCTGTTGCCCTTGGATCCTCATCCCTGATAAACCAAATTTAATCCTCCTAGAACTCAAAGCTTGACTGCCCCATCCTGAGACCCACCTAGCCTATGTCACACCCCAAACCAACTTCCTTTCTTTTTAATTCCTCTTTATTGTTGAGGTACCTGCTACTGTACTGGGGTATGAACTCACAGACTGTGGCAACATGCACAGGGCCTGCGCAACTGTAAGCCAGATCAGGGTGAACCCTGGGAGGGGAAGCGCTGGGGGGGGGGGAGAACACAGCCCCACCTCCCTAACCCAGAAGCTATCTCCAGTTGATAGCTGCTCACAAAGAAAATATTTCTTTTCGCCAATGGAGTCCCCAGTGGAGTCTCACTAGGTTTACAAACCACCCCTAGGGACAGGCCATGTTCTTGCAGTAGATGGCCAAACAAACTCAATGGCTTTTTTTTTTTTTTTTTGGAACCCTACATATAGTTTGCTTATATATTATGGTTTCTGATTTTATTTTTTATGAGTTATCTGTGTGCGAATGTGTGTGCGTGTGTCTCAGCATCTATTATGTGTTTCTTGTGATTTCTCTTTAGCTCTTTCCTTTTCCTGTTTGTATGTTTTGTCCTAGTCTGGCTTGTTTGTTTACCTTATTATTAATATTTTAGATGCTTGCTTGTGTTCTAATAAAAGAAAGAAAGGGTGTGGTTTGGGGGGGAGTGGGTTGGATATGGAAGGAGTTGGGGGAGGGGAAACCATAATCAAAATACACTGTACAAAAAAAAGATATATTTTCAATAAAAAAAGTATTTCCTCTATGACAAAAAGAGAAAGAAAGAAAGCGAGAGAAAGGAGAAAGGAGGAAACACACTGGCGATCAGCATTCCTTCCTTTCTGTTTCCTGACTGTCGCTGCAATCTAACTGGCTGCCGCCACTGTGCCTTCTGGACCATGAAGGACTGTTACCCTCAGACTGTGAGCCAAAATAATCCCCCCTCACTTTGGTTGCTTTTGTCAAGTACTTTGTCACAGAAAAGAGAAAATAAGTAATATTTGAGACATAGTGGCGGACTACACGTCACTCATTTCATAAACCCAGCACATTTCCCTGGCACCTGCTGCTTAATGCTGGTTTATCATCTGTGCTGGTTTTATGTCAACTTGATACAAGCCAGAGTCCTCAGAGAAGAGGGAGCCTCAATTGCGAAAATTCCCCTACAAAACTGGGATGTAGACAAGCCTACAGGGCATTTTCTCATTCAGTGATCAATGGGTGAAGGCCCAGCCCATGGTGGGCGGTGCTATCCCTGAGCTGGTGGTCCTGGGTTCTATAAGAACACAGGCTGAGCAAGCCAGTAAGCAGCACGCCTGCATGGCCTCTGCATCAACTCCTGCCTCCAGGTTCCTGCACCGTGTGAGTTCCTGTTCTGACTTCCTTTAACTGTAAACTTCGATGTCTGATGTGAAAACATAATCCAAATAAACACTTTCTGTTAGGACGTACCATACATACATTTTTAATATTGTTCGAGATATTGTACCTATACAACTCATTTAACAATATAATGCAAATGTCTAGTCCTTAATAATTATTATTATTATTACAAACTAGGATAATAAATGCAGGTTAGTGGTCACCTATTACAATCAAACTTGAAGTCATAATAGGTGTGTTTTCAAGGTCAAACAGATATTTTAGATAGACAGGTTGTCTTCAAACACTTTAGAGATCTACAGAATATGGATTTAAAATGTTTTAAGAACAGAATTTAAGATGTTTTAATAATATAGGTTCTTTTTTTTTTACGACAATGAGACATGTCTGCTCCTGGCAGCACCAATCTACTTCAGAGAAGATGATGGACATCGAAGAAATTCCATAGAGTTTACTTTCTTTGTGGAAAGTAAGTCACTACACAAGAAACTGTCCTTGCCTCAACTACTGACAATTATGCTGTCCAAATTGGACAAACAGGACACAAAAGAGTGTGATTGCCAAACCTTGCCAAGACAAGGCATGACAGCCCTTCAAAAAATCCTACTTCATAGAAAACTCTGTTAAATATTCTAGTCCTATAGGCCAAAAATGGGTGCCCCAACATTACAGAGGAACTCTGAGTGACTGTCCAGGCATCCAGCTGTTTCTGTCATTTCTCACATTTTTTTGGAAGTTGCTTACTTACTCAGTTAATATTTCTTTCTCAGGGGCTGGAGAGATGGCTCAGTATTTAAGAGCACTGACTGGTCTTTGGGAGGACCTGGGTTCGATTACCAGCACTCACATGGCTGCTCACAACTGTCTGTAAGTCCAGTTCTAGGGGACCCAACACCCATGGCAAAACACCAATGCACATAAAATAAAAATAAATTTTAAAAATATATTATTTCCTTCTCAGGCCTCTGAGGGAGTTGAAGACTAGTTAGTTATAGTTTTCCTTGTTTACCAGATACAGAAAAGAAACTCACTAAAGAGGTCTAAAATGTAAAAGGTTGAGAGACATTGAAAGATAATTTTGATAATGCAAATTAGAATAGAAAGTGAATCAGGTACAGCCTTTGGGCTCACCAAGATAAAATAATATGAACTATTTTCTCTGAATTTGTCAAATGCAAATAAACTAGACATTGCTGATGTATTTATTGCCTTATATATTGTATAAAGTTACTTATATATATAGTTTTTCTTAGTTATAATCTTCTTTCTTATTTTAAACAAAAAAGGGGAAATGTAGTGATATTTTGTTTGTGATCTAACAAATACAGCTTGGCTGAAGATCAGAGTATGTAGCTAACCACATTAGTTAGCCACAGACACCAGGGAATGATAGCACACAACTTTAATCCCAACACTTGGGAGGCAGAGGCAGGTGCATCTCCGTGAGTTCAAGGCCACTTTGGACTACACAAGATTGATCCTGTCTAAAAGGGATAGAGCCAGTTGGTGATGGCTCACACCTTTAATCCCAGCACTTGGGATCACACGCCTTTAATCCCAGCACTAGGGAGGTGGAGACAGGAGTGATATGGCTGGGCAGAGAGAGGAATATGAGGCAGGAGGAGACAGGAGTTCAGGGCATTCAGTCTGAGGATTGCCCATTTGATCTGAGGATTCAGTAGAGGTATGAGGTCTCTCTTGTGGCTGTCTCCTTTATTTCTCTGACCTTTTGGCATTTACCCTGGATTTTTAATATTAAGACCAATTAGAACGCATGCAACACCTTTCCTCACCAAGTTGCTTGGGCCATGGTGTTCATCATAGCAATGGTAAAGCTGACATCATCATGATTTACTCAAGCATCTCTTGATATCTGCTGGACAACTCCCTCTACAAAGCTTCCTGGACTCAGCAAGCAGGTGTTCTGTCCATGGATCATCAGGTGTCTAACAAGGCCACCTTTGTCCCAGCCATCGTATGTACTGGTGCTTGTGTTCTCACAGCCTCTCCATCACTAACCACCCCCAACCCAAAGGATTCATGCACAGTTCAAGAGCTTGAATAGTGGCATTAGGTCCTGCCCCAAGCCTGCTCTCCCTCCCTAAATTCCGACTAAACTTCTTCA